CATGCGAATTAAATCTGTAGTCGGCTCTTATCGATCTTTCTTTTCATACTGCTCGATTTGAATCGAAGAGCCTTGTAATAATTTATATGGCAAATGTATCGTTTATTATTTTTACTCCGTTTTTTATGCAAGCTGAAATTACCGAGTGCGTGACGATTTACGTGAAGCAATACGGGGCACGTGATTCATCACGGGGACTTCCTACCGGTGGATATATCGAAGTATCGCAGTTTCCAATCGTTTCGACCGTCGCTGAGCGCGTCGTTCGTGCTCTTTCGATTATATCGCACGGCTCTCGCTCGTCGGAAGAAACGAGCAGATAGAAGAGAAAATAGTTGGCGCGGTTAATTAAGCGGACTCTAGCAGAGACTAGTAGTAGACCTTCCCTCCGACTGAAAACCTATTAGCTCGGCTACGAGCGATCGATCCCACGTCCCGGTTAAACTAATCTATATTTACGATACAAAGATTGAACCTGGCAATGCAATCCGAGCGAAGTGCATTACCGATCTCGATGCGACGGCCGCGTTTGATCTATCGAGTGTTTTGCTCGGAAGGAAAATTCGCAGCTCGATAAAAAAAAATAAAGCAACGGATGATCCGTAGGAGAGATTCCGCGATGCGATCTTCTGAAAGCGCGACGGAGACGCTGAATAATCGCGAGGGGTGTCGATCGATTCTCGCCCTTTCGCATACGACGATACCAAAACGTTTGAAACGACCTCGCGTCGCCAGATCTCTCTCTCTCTCTCTCTTTCTCTCTTGCGGATGAATGAATGTTTACTTGAGAGGACGTTAAGTTCGCGCTCGAGAAATCCCAAGGCAATCCACGACAATCGAGCGAGACCGTTCGACGCGAACGCGAGAAAGAAGTCGCGCGATTGAATTATCGAACGTCGATGCGGAATGAAGTGCGAGCCGCTATACGAATTACCGTGCTTATAAATTATGGAAGCGCGCGAATATCTGTCGCCATGGTTATTAACCGCCNGGGCGGGTGGGGTGACTGGGCGATTCGCGCTTAAACCGCGAAGATGAGAGGCGAGATAAGAGGAAAAAAGCTCGCGGGAAAATGGATGCGTCATGTAGTGTAACTTACTTTGCCGCACGAGTTAATCCAACTACGAAGTTTCCCCATATAAGGGGATCCGCGCGAATACCGACGTGCGCACTTCCCCCCTCTCTCTCCTTCTTGCTCTCGCTCTCTATCCTTTAAGTAGTTTAAGTTAATCAATGCTAATTTCGTTCCGGGCAGCGCTCTAAAGCGGTGGGTGGGATTTACGCAATCGGACGTATCTCGAACTCTTTAACCGCCGCCGTCGCGTTCCTTCGCCGGTTTCTCCCGCCCGGACCGACGGTTGATTATTGCCTCCTCATAATGCGGATTAAGCGGCGCAAAATCGCAGGCTTATTGTTCGCGTCGCGCCGAGGCGAACTTTTAACTCGACCGATAATTCCGCACCTCGTAGCGGAATAATGATAAACTATCACGGTGAGGGGGATACGGAGGTGCGAAAGGGAGAGGGAGGAGGGTGGTGAGTCTTGGCTCGAGCGTAACTTTGGCGGTTTAAGTGTATTACTTGCTAAGAGGATACGTCACTTGAAAGTGCCTGAGAAACAAATGTGGTTGAATTTTAGGGGAAATTTTTCAGCGACGCTGTTCTCGTAATTTCGCACGCGCGTTGGTCGCTCCGTATTGTTCGCGGCATCGCGAGCGGCAGCGCATTTAAAGACTGAGAAAGAGAGAGAGAGAGAGCGAGAGATGGGAAGAGAAAGAAAGAGGTAGAACGCAATATATTCCCGGGATGTATATAATATAAACGAAAGTTTCTCCGGGCGAAATTACGTTGATAGACGTATGCAAATCGCAGCGCGGCGTATCGCGAGAAGCGAGGAAGATCGGCGGAAAAAGGACGACGAAATCGCATCGGTTCTCCGCGTCGTATCGGTACGGCTCGTCCGGAAGAAAGCGAGTGAGAAAAACAAGCGTGTTTACCGTTAAAAATTCAATGGCCGCCGCACTGATAGCCTCGCTCGCTCGCCGTGTCGGCTCTCGGCGGAATCGATCAAAAAGAAAGCGCACTTTCCCCGCGCGAAAAACAACGAATTAATATTCAAATGATAAATGGTTCGGCTAACGCAGCGGGGGAAGCGAGATTTTCTCATAATTATTGGAAAACGCGAGTAGTCTCGGGCCGGCAGGGGTGTATAAGGGGGGGGGGGGGGTAA